TAACTTCCAGACATAACTTGTGTGTTAGTGTATGGATCTCTCTGATATTGTACCACAAGGTTCCATATCACAATGGGAATGCTGGGATTGATTTTGGGGGTAATTGCCTCCAAATTTTAGGAATTAGGGGCCAAAAAGGGGAAAAAAACAAGCATTTTTCTAGTTTTATGACAATAACTTGTGTGTAAGTGTATGGATCTCTCTGACATTGTACCACAAGGTTCCATATCACAAAGGGAATGCTGGGATTGATTTTGGGGGTAACTGCCTCCAAATTTTAGGAATTAGGGGCCAAAAGGGGGCAAAAAACAAGCATTTTTCTAGTTTCATGACAATAACTTGTGTGTAAGTGTATGGATCTTTATGAAATTGTACAACAAGGTTCCATATCACAAAGGGAAAGCTGGAATTGAGTTTGGGGGTAATTGCCAAAAACATTTTGGAATAAGGGGCCAAAAAGGGGCCAAAAATAAGCATTTTTCTAGTTTACAGACAATAACTTGTGTTCAAGTGTATGGATCTCTCTGAAATTGTACTGCAAGGTACCATACTACAAAGGGAAGGCTGGGATTGATTTTTGGGGTAATTCCCTCAAAATTTTAGGAATTAGGGGCCATAAAGGGGCAAAAAAACAAGCACTTTTCTAGTTTCAGGACAATAACTTGTGTGTAAGTGTATGGATCATTATGAAATTGTACTGCAAGGTTCCATATCACAAAGGGAAAGCTAGGTTTGAGTTTGGGGGTAATTGCCCTAAATGTTTAGGAAATTGGGGCCAAAAATAAGCATTTTTCTAGTTTACAGACAATAACTTGTGTTCAAGTGTATGGATCTCTCTGAAATTGTACTGCAAGGTACCATACTACAAAGGGAAGGCTGGGATTGATTTTTCGGGTAATTCCCTCAAAATTTTAGGAATTAGGGGCCATAAAGGGGCAAAAAACAAGCATTTTTCTAGTTTCAGGACAATAACTTGTGTGTAAGTGTATGGATCTTTATGAAATTGTACTGCAAGGTTCCATATCACAAAGGGAAAGCTAGTTTTGAGTTTGGGGGTAATTGCCCTAAATGTTTAGGAATTTGGGGCCAAAAAGGGGCCAAAAATAAGCATTTTTCTAGTTTCCAGACAATAACTTGTGTTCAAGTGTATGGATCTCTCTGAAATTGTACTGCAAGGTACCATACCACAAAGGGAAGGCTGGGATTGAGTTTGGGGGTGATGAATCATAAGGGGGTTCAAAAAATTGGGGGGGGGGGTTTTTTTTTCCTTTTTTTTTCTTTAAAATTTTCCATTTTAAATTGGTTATTTCTGATTTATATATAAAAGCAAATAATAATGATATGGTTTGAATAGGTAAATTAAATTTTTTTAAGTTCTTAGACCACATTCATTCTGTGTCAGAAACCTATGCTGTGTCAAATATTTAATCACAATCCAAATTCAGTGCTGTATCAAGCTTGAATGTTGTGTCCATACTTGCCCCAACTGTTCAGTGTTCGACCTCTGCAGTCGTATCAAGCTGTGCCCCAGCAGAGCATTTTATTTCGTTTGGGCTTGTATTATATTTGCCTTCGGGTTTATATGATCCGTTCATCCTATTTTGACTCCTCAAAATTCAAGAGTCTATCCTAAATTGAGGTAAATTATATGGCCTTCCAAATACCATTTCGATTCCTAACATCACTGAAGAGACATTAATTGTCGAAATCCGGATATGGTGTACAAAAATCTTTGCACCTTTGTTTGAGGTATACCATCTTTGCCGCAAGTTTATTGTTTTCTGTTTGGTATTAAATTTATAATTAAGATCCATTTATTACACCTTGTGATCCGTTTATTTGGCAATCGCCAATGGCAGTCAGCAGGGTTTAAGAACATTTGTTGTTCGACCTGTTAGTCAAATGCATTTTGTTAAAATATACTTTTTCACTTTTTTGGTCTTTTGGAAAATGTTGTTTATGCTGTATTTAGACCCCTCTAACAAGAAATTTGTTTTGCATGCACACGTATAAAAATTGTGGTTTTTATCCAACGCAATCATAGGTTTGAACGTTGTTCTCAATTTAGACTTGTTTATATTTTTATACGACCGCAAAAAAATTTTGTGGTCGTATATTGGTATGACGTTGGCGTCGTCGTCGTCTTCCGGCGTCGTCGTCCGAAGACACATTGGTTTTCGCACTCTAACTTTAGTTTAAGTAAATGGATCTCTATGAAATTTTACCATAAGGTTCAATACCACAAAAGGAAGGTGGGGATTGATTTTGGGGGTTATGGTACCAACAGTTAAGGAATTAGGGGCCAAAAATAAGCATTTTTGTAACTTCCAGACATAACTTGTGTGTTAGTGTATGGATCTCTCTGATATTGTACCACAAGGTTCCATATCACAATGGGAATGCTGGGATTGATTTTGGGGGTAATTGCCTCCAAATTTTAGGAATTAGGGGCAAAAAAGGGGCAAAAAACAAGCATTTTTCTAGTTTCATGACAATAACTTGTGTGTAAGTGTATGGATCTTTATGTAATTGTACTACAAGGTTCCATATCACAAAGGGAAAGCTGGAATTGAGTTTGGGGGTAATTGCCCAAAACATTTAGGAATAAGGGGCCAAAAATAAGCATTTTTCTAGTTTCCAGACAATAACTTGTGTTCAAGTGTATGGATCTCTCTGAAATTGTACTGCAAGGTACCATACTACAAAGGGAAGGCTGGGATTGATTTTTCGGGTAATTCCCTCAAAATTTTAGGAATTAGGGGCCATAAAGGGGCAAAAAACAAACATTTTTCTAGTTTCAGGACAATAACTTGTGTGTAAGTGTATGGATCTTTATGAAATTGTACTGCAAGGTTCCATATCACAAAGGGAAAGCTAGGTTTGAGTTTGGGGGTAATTGCCCTAAATGTTTAGGAATTTAGGGCCAAAAAGGGACCAAAAATAAGCATTTTTCTAGTTTCCAGACAATAACTTGTGTTCAAGTGTATGGATCTCTCTGAAATTGTACTGCAAGGTACCATACCACAAAGGGAAGGCATGGATTGAGTTTGGGGGTGATGAATCATAAGGGGGTTCAAAAAATTGGGGGGGGGGGGGGGGGGGATTTTTTTTTCCTTTTTTTTCCTTTAAAATTTTCCATTTTAAATTGGTTATTTCTGATTTATATATAAAAGCAAATAATAATGATATGGTTTGAATAGGTAAATTAAAATTTTTTAAGTTCTTAGACCACATTCATTCTGTGTCAGAAACCTATGCTGTGTCAAATATTTAATTACAATCCAAATTCAGTGCTGTATCAAGCTTGAATGTTGTGTCCATACTTGCCCCAACTGTTCAGTGTTCGACCTCTGCGGTCGTATCAAGCTGAGCCCCAGCGGAGCATTTTATTTCGTTTGGGCTTGTATTATATTTGCCTTCGGGTTTATATGATCCGTTCATCCTATTTTGACTCCTCAAAATTCAAGAGTCTATCCTAAATTGAGGTAAATTATATGGCCTTCCAAATACCATTTCGATTCCTAACATCACTGAAGAGACATTATTTGTCGAAATCCGGATATGGTGTACAAAAATCTTTGCACCTTTGTTTGCGGTATACCATCTTTGCCGCAAGTTTATTGTTTTCTGTTTGGTATTAAATTTATAATTAAGATCCATTTATTACACCTTGTGATCCGTTTATTTGGCAATCGCCAATGGCAGTCAGCAGGGTTTAAGAACATTTGTTGTTCAACCTGTTAGTCTAATGCGTTTTGTTAAAATATACTTTTTCACTTTTTTGGTCTTTTGGAAAATGTTGTTTGTGCTGTATTTAGACCCCTCTACCAAGAAATTTGTTTTGCATGCACATGTATAAAAATTGTGGTTTTTATCCATGTAATCATAGGTTTGAACGTTGTTTTCAATTTAGACTTGTTTACTGTAAATTCAGAAATTATTGCGTGTATTTATTATTGCGATTTTGCCATTTTAGAATTAAATGCGATTTTAATTTTTGCGATATTGAGAACAATCCTGTTTAATTCAAATAAAAAATTTCAAAATGCGAGTTTAAATTATTGCGATTATAACACTGTCGCAATTTTCGCAATAATAAAAACATCGCAATAATTTCTGAATTTACAGTATATTTTTTCGTTTGGGCTTATATTATATTTGCCTTCGGGTTTATGTGATCCGTTCATCCTATTTTGACTCCTCAAAATTCAAGAGTCTATCCTGAATTGAGGTAAATTGTATGGCTTTCCAAATACCGTTTCGATATATGTGTATCAGATATCAAAATGTGCATATAGATTTATGTATCAGATATCAGAATGTGCATATAGATATATGTATCAGTTATCATAATGTGCATATAGATATATGTATCAGATATTAGAATGTGCATTTAGATATATGTATCAGATATCAGAATGTGCATATAGATATATGTATCAGATATTAGAATGTGCATTTAGATATATGTATCAGATATTAGAATGTGCATATAGATATATGTATCAGATATCAGAATGTGCATATAGATATATGTATCAGATATTAGAATGTGCATTTAGATATATGTATCAGTTATCATAATGTGCATATAGATATATGTATCAGATAGAATGTGCATATAGATATATGTATCAGTTATCATAATGTGCATATAGATATATGTAACAGATATCAGAATGTGCATATAGATACATGTATCAGATATTAGAATGTGCATATAGATATATGTATCAGATATTAGAATGTGCATTTAGATATATGTATCAGATATTAGAATGTGCATATAGATATATGTATCAGATATTAGAATGTGCATATAGATATATGTATCAGGTATCAGAATGCAAGTTCTTATTATTTGCTATACTCACCCAGTTGCATTATTCACATTAAAAAAAAATCCCAATAATTTCTGAATTTACAGTATTGCCTTCATTAAGACATGGAAATATCCATTTAACTTTATTCTAATCATGTTTTTAATAAGACTGCAGAGATTAAAAGTTCAACATTTTATTCAATAAGGTGTACATAATAACAATAAATGATTACAAATAAAAAGCCATATACAATGCATGATCCTGATCTGTGTGTATAAACATGATGTAATTCTGAATGCATAAACATGATCCTTATCTTAATAAACATGGTCATGATCTGTATGTATAAACATGATCCTGACCTGTATGTATAAACATGATCGTGATCAGTGTGTATAAACATGATCATGATATGTATGTATAAACATGATTCTGATCTTTATGGATAAACATGGTCCTGATTTGTGTGTATAAACATGATCCTGATCTACAAGTGTAAACAATTAATCTGATTCATGATTAATATTGCCTTTATTATACTAATCTATATGTAATGTGGAATGATTTGCGCTGTATAAGTCTTATTAAATATTGGAATAAAATTCAAAAAATCCAAATAAATCATTTAAAAGTTACATTATCAATTCAACATAATAAAACACCTTTTCTTAAGCAACAAAAAGTAAAACTAAATGTTAAAAAATGATATTTGGTGTTAATAAGTATTAAAATATCTTTGTTTACAAAATCAAAAATGATATAGTGATAAAAAAAAGATGATTTTAGGATAAAATTTGACCTTTTTCAATGCCTTTTTGTCAAAGATATAAGCATTATATCTAATTGGTTAGACAAAATGTAAACAAATTTCGATGAGGAAGACAATTTATGAATTCTCCTCTGAAGTTCACTATTAATCAATTTTCATTATTTGCTTTGCTCTTGGTATAAACTTAGCTTAAAACCAATAATATAAAAACTCCTTCTTCTTCTAGAGTTTTCTCAAAAACGATACTTAGCATTTTAGAACTGAAGACACGTATTACCATTTAGCAAGAACATATTTGTCTAACCATCAAAAAATTAAATTTAAGGTATAGAAAATATTAAATGGCCAAGTTTATACCAAGAGCAAATCAAATAATGAAAATTGATTAACAGTGAACTTCAGAGGAGAATAAATAACTATCTGATCCCCTCAACCATGGTACATATATATATATATATATATATTAATAGTTTCCAAGGTATCAACTCTCTCAAAGAGGGAACGGACCGCTAGACAACTTCAGGAATCTCCAACTAAATTGGAAATTGTCCAATGTGCTTCTGGAATGAGGTATAGTTTAATTTTTACATTAAATTATATTTCTGTATTTTTTACTTTTTTTAAAAAGCATTTCATTCATGAGCAGTATGAATAAACATAAAAAGAACATGGATATTCAGTGACCAAAAGCTTTCTATTTCCTAAGGCCAATATAAACAAGTATGGCTTGCTGTAAATTTGAATAGTTGTCAATTACAAAAGTAGGCTGTATGATGTGAAAAACAAACATAAATCAATCAGAGCCTTTCTTATCAGTAATCTTAATTTGCCATTTGCAGTTGCTAATCACTTCTCAAATATTCAAAGTGTTCATCATATTGAAATTGCTTCAAAATTCTATAGAAAATAATAGCTTTAAGGTGCCCTTAAAATGGTGTGAACAGGCTGGTCAAGTAAATCCGGTCTATGAAACAATTTTGTCAGAGAGAGATTTCCCAATTTGAAAGTTTAAAAAGTTGACAACTATGTGGTAATGAAAATAAATCTTCTTGATATATATGTTATAAAACAAAATATTCTCATTAATCTTTGGGTTTTTTCTTTTAAAAGAACCTTAAATAGTTTGTGCAATTTTGAGTAACTTCAATTAGTAAAGATTTACAGACACATCTTGCGATATTGACCTGTATTATATGAGCTGCATCAGATAGAAATCGACCTTATTCAAGTACAGGTAAACATGTACATGTATAAGACTTTTATTGATATTAGAACATTCAAATATGAAATAAAAGATGAATCTTGGTCTGTTTTGTAGGGTTCTTATATCAACTCAATTTTCAAACAGTTACAGACTTTGCATAGAGATTTTTTCTACCCAAAATTGATATTCATTTGCATAACGTCGATTTCTATCGGACACAGCTCATATGCTGAACAACACTGTAACTTCTGATTCTATACATGTACTTAATTTTTCCACTATAGAAATAAAGATTTTTTTCTCTTACAATCAATAAACTTAAAACAGTAGTAAACCTATATTACAAGGCATATATATATATATAAACTAAAAATAAAAAATAAAATAAACACAACCCCATAAAAATAAACAATTAAATAGATATGATATGATATGATATGATAGATATGTGAATGTTAAAATAATATGTATGCTATATACAATGAGCAACGATTCTAATTCAAGCACTTGTTTCAATAAATAACAACATACTAGTAAGTGCTGACAATAAAAAGAAAATGAGCCTACATTGGTCACCTATCTGATCAAATGAATCTAGACAGAAAGTAATATGCATTTTTTAGTTAATCTAGAACTATTATGAGGAAAATGCATTTACATTTTCGTATGTTCTGTTACCCACTAACAAATAATTGTTTAAAGTGCAAACTAAAATGTGCAGTACTTAAAATTATTATATAGCTTGGCATGAGAGTCTGTATTGCTTGTCTTGCTCATACAATCAAATTTCACTATTTTTAGAATCATGGCTACCATGTTTGATGGCTGTAGGCTTCAGACCACAATTATTTCCCTTTGCTAGTAGGGCAAAGGTTACAATATAGATAATTTCTACCAGATCTTTTTTGTCTTTTATTTGATAAAGCAATTGGTCCTTGGTTTATTTTGGACGAAAAATTTACAATGTAAGTGTTATGAGACAAAAGCAGCCATGAATTTTCTTGGCATTTGAAATTTTTTCAGAAAAAAATATTGAACTTCATGTGCAGCAAATATTATATCATTTGAACTGGTTTCCTTATTTTATGGAAAAATGCAGTCAAAATAATTGTGTTGTGAGGCCTCTACAGATATTCTGAGTATGTTTCATAAGCTTTAGTGCAAACTGGCCAAGTAGTTCAAAAGAATATTTACTGTCAGACAATGGCTGCTTGGAGCTTTTTAGTGACATAAAATGCTGCCTCTTATATAGTCTAGTCAATTAACTTAAATGTATACTGAATTAAAAATGTTGTACAGTTATGCTACAATTAATCAACCAAAGCAGTTACTATCTTTTTAGACATTTCCATTACCCGTAACTAGAAGATATGTAGTAAAAAATAGATCCATCTTTACAAATCTGAATGTTAATCTAACAACACCTAATGTATTTACAATACACTGCAATATAATCCTCTTAGGAACTAAAAATAAAAATTGAAGTGAAGAATTCTTCAGCTATAAACATTTTGATGTATAGAAGATACATAAATTAGTAATCATTTGTAAATAATAAAATAGAAATTACTTATTTCACAGGCAAGATAAAAATAAAAAAATACTGAACTCAATTAAAAATATACAACTGATTAATTTTAAACAAAACAATTACATGTAATCACTTAGAATTATCACAATATGGCACAAGACTTAAAAGGTCAAATAAAAGTTACTTGGTTCACAGACAATTGAAATAAAAATATGGGTCAGTATGTTAAGAACTCACGAGCAAAACATATTAAATTCCACACTGTTCATTTGCAAAACCAAAAATAATAAAATAATAATAAAGATAAGTAGAACAAAGCTATAATTTTTAATCCTTTATCAAATTTTTTTTTCAAAATAGGCTATTTAAAAAAAGTTCTTCCTGGGAAAATAAAAAAAATGTAATGGAAATTTATTCTGAGAACCAAATAGTTTTTATTATGGCCTAATTCACATTACAATTACATTTTATAATAAATCATGGTGTGGAGAGGTCCTTTTTGTTACAATTGATTATATTTAACCTGCATACAATCCTTATTAATAAATCTATCAAGAAATCAAAAAATAAATTATTTTTCTCCAATTGCAGATCAATTAAATTTCCTCATGTATCAAAAATTGACTTGAACAAAATATTCTGTAATAATTAACAATAACAACGTCTAACAATTTTTGATTTTCTTAATAAAAACTCATATATGCATGACTTACTCACATATGTTTCTCCCTTGGAATGATGTAATGTATATAAATAAATAACATTAAAAACAAAATATTAACATCACAACCAGTCTTTCATACAGAAATGGAATGGTCAGTCAAAACAACCATTACAAAATAATCTAATAAAAAAAGTCAAATGTATTTAATGAAAAAAAATCCTTTTCCTAATAACAAAAAAATCCTTTTTCTAATACCAAAACCATAACAACCACAATATTTTGCAGTTCTATGCAAGTTAATTATGTGTCCGAATGATTTAAATAAAAGTTCAACTTCAACCTGTTAGACAGATAAACAGATCAACTTTGACCTGTTAAGACAGATGAATAGATCAACTCACAATATTCAATGTTAATGTACTCAATCTGGTAACAGTTTTCATTACAAAGCAACAATAATTACTAGTAACTTGCTCATAATATGAACTACTTTACAATGAAATGAAAATTTACAAATAATTGCACCAATGCGCTTTACAGATAATGCCTTTTAACTGTTCATATTTACAAATATCCAATAATTATAATATCTTGTACAATTTACAAACATACGAATATTCAAATGCTCTCCAAGCATTCTAAAACAATTGTGGCTTAAAAAAAGGCTTTTCTTTCATAAAAAAAAAATAAATTTGTCTCGGGGAGTTGAATGCTATCAAAAAATACACTTTTCCAATATTTATACCACCTTGTCAATCATCATGAGGTAAACCCTGCCATTTTTCAGTCATGATTTGAATCTCTTACTAAACTTTTATCTCTAAACAATATTAACATCTAGGCTATATTCTAATATGCTGATGGAACAAAATAAACGACTGTTCCAAAAAAAAAAAAAAAAAAGTAATGGATTATAAAAAAACAAATAATTTTCTGTTAGAAAAAAACTATTGTCAGGAATTTTGTTTTACCTAGCATACAAATTTGGCATAGAAAGGATGTTGACTTTCCAAAAAGTGCCTATCCTATACTGGGGCAAGTATACTTATAATATTTTTGTCCCACTCTTAAAAATGTTTTCCTACATTTAATTTTGGTCTCATTCTTTAATAAAACTTAAAAAAGTTCTTCTTGCACTTTAAAGAATGATGCATAGTTATACTTGTAAATGTAACACCATACAAAATAAAAATTACTTTTTCCCAATAGTTAAACTGTGACAGACATTATCAGAAAATTTTAACTCACAGGGGCATAACTGAGAAGAAATGACATCACAATCTGTATGAAACAAAATTTAAAGTATGCTTGGTAAACAGCAGTCCAAATATGGTAAACACTTTTTCTTCTTAATTTTGTGAAAATATATAATATTTTACATGAACCATGTGTAAGGAAGGATATCTACATAAAACCAATATCAATTTCCATCAGCCTGTCATATTATATTTGTTCTGAAATGGACTTATATCTCAACATTAGATTTATGCAATACTGTAAATTCAGAAATTATTGCGATGTTTTTATTATTGCGAAAAATGCGACAGGGTTATAATCGCAATAATTTAAACTCGCATTTTGAAATATTTTATATGAATTAAACAGGATTTTTCTCAATATCGCAAAAATTAAAATCGCATTTTAGTCTAAAATGACAAAATCACAATAATAAATGCACGCAATAATTTCTGAATTCACAGTAATTTGTTTGTCACTGCAGTGGTTGAAATGGGGAGATGTTTGAACTTAAATACAACCTTACTTCAGAGTGCACTAATACCAATACTCCAGAAAAGCAATAAGTACCAAAACATCTACTTTAAAATCAATTTTACAGGGGGAAAAACAGAATAAAAAAATTAATTTAGCTCAACATTCAGAAGGAAGATAAATTATACCGATATAATGTTTCATAATCTAAACAGTCTTACATATAATGTACAGAATACACAATCTTTATAAAAGATTAGCACCATATCTATCACACATATGTACATTTGTTCACAAAACTAGTGTGTGTAAGAGGTACACAGTAAAATAAAATAGAGAAAAGTATAAGATTAAAATTATGGGATAAAAGTCAACAGAAGAAATATTGCAGAAACAAGCATTTATATATATGAAAATGTTGGCCTTAGACTAAAACACAAATATTTAAATGTGGCTGAAATAAAACTCTCTACACCGATGAAAAAATAGTCAAACTGACAATATACAGATGTTTGACATGGTTTGTGTACTTATCTGAGTATTGTCCATTTGTAATTATTTCACTCTACAGAAAATGATCCCTGAACCTTTCAAACATAGGACACTTAACAAGATAATGTAAAAGGAAAAAAAGAACTTCACATACATCTAACATTGTAAATCTTATAACAGAAATAACTACATCATACAGAAGATTCTTTCATACAAGGTGAATACATTTTCTCTTTCCTAAATGATTTGACTTTTTCTTTAGGCTTCACGAAGTAATGTTTATGAGGTTTGTAACGAGGCATATTATCTTCAGAAAAAGACGAGGAATCTGACTGGCTAGGTTCATACACAGGTTTTCTAGAGCCTGGAGTATTATAGGCTAAATTATCATCCGTTTTGGATTTGGGCATTCTATCTTGCTCTAGTCCATTATGGGATGACTGGTTCTGATGATAACTAGCTCTTTTTGTCTGTGGTCTATTCTTCACATCGTATACATCATCATTTGATTTTGAAACTTGTTGTAGGTCAAAGTGATTTAAAGGTTCAAACTGATCCTTGTTGTTTTTGGCATTTTGATAACTTACACTTCTTTTGTAGTGATCACTTCTTGAAGGCCTTGTCTGTTCTATTCTCCTGTTAAGTGTGGCTACAGGTGGTCTATCTTGTTCAGGGTTTGAAACTTTCCTTGATATAGTGTTATATGTACTGATAAGGTCATGAACGCCTTTATTACTTGGAATCACAGCTTCTGTAATGATAACATGTTATGTTAGAATGATTTTCTGAAATTTTCTGTTTATATTCATATTTACTTGTTTTATTGAGATCTTGCAATTTGAAAAGACATTACCAAGTCCAAATCAATCATAATATTGGTTTCTGTATTTGTTGTTTATACCATGATGCGTTCAGAATTTCAAAATGCTATATTCGCTTTTGAAGAGATTCTGAAATGAAAACATTAGTTAACCATTTCATAGGTCTGTTACTTTTTCTTTTTCCTTTTTTAAGTATAGTCAAACTCTGTGCACGTTCTTCTCATCTAAATTTATAAATAAAATATAAAGCAAGGAAAATATCAAAGAGCCAAAAACAAAATAACACAATAAAGTCAAAAAGTCATCTTAAGGTCAACATAAAAGTCTTTAAAATACAATTATGGCCAGTAGAAAAGGTGAATATCCAAAATTGTCAACCTAAAAAGGTTATTTCCCTGAGGGTTAAGCCTTAAGTGAAAATACTTTTAATGGTTGACAATTTTGAATATTCACCTCTCCTTAGGGTTACAATTGTATTATCATACTGGAATAACAACAAAAGAGCCTTTAGAACAATTGAAGATTTTAAAGAAGCAAACGCCTTACTGTATACTAGTTACAAATTTTCAAAACCCTTTCGTCAGAGAACTATATGTGTCTTAGAATGTCTAAGGTAGACTCTTTTGTACAATATGAATGGCCATGAAAAGGGCTGTTTATCAAGGCTTCTATTATGGGAACTAGATGAATTTCCAAACCTTGTTTCCTCATCACTTCACTCAATTGACTTACAACACAGACTAAGAAATTTCTGCAAACGCTTTGTTCCTTAGATAAAATATGGTATTAATAACAATAACCACTGATAAGGTACCTGACTTGGGACAGGTACATTGACATATGATAGGGTTAAATTTTTTATGTTATCAACTCTTCCATCTTTCATCTCAATAATTGAACAACAAAAGGTAAGCAAGGTTACACAACTAGAGGCTCTAAAGAGCTTGTGTCGCTCACCTTGGTCTATGTGCATATTAAACAATGGACACAGATGGATTCATGACAAAATTGTGTTTTGGTGATGGTGATGTGTTTGTAGATCTTACTTTACTGAACATTCTTGCTCCTTACTATTATCTCTATCTATAATGAACTTGGCAAAGTAGTTACAGTGGAAAATATTTTGTAAAAATTTACAAAAATTTACAAAATTTATGAAAATTGTAAAAAATTGACTATAAAGGGCAATAACTCCTTAAGGGGTCAATTGACAATTTTGGTCATGTTTGACTTATTTGTAGATCTAACTTTGCTGTACATTATTGCTGTTTACAGTTTATCTCTATCTATAATAATATTCAAGATAATAACCAAAAGCTGCAAAATTTTCTTAAAATTACCAATTCAGGGGCAGCAACCCAACAACATGTTGCCTGATTGGTCTGAAAATTTCAGGGCAGATAGATCTTGACCTAATGAACAATTTTATACCATCAGATTTGCTCTAAATGCTTTGGTTTCAGAGATATGAGCCAAAAACTGCATTTTACCCTATGTATTATTTTTTTGCCATGTCGGCCATCTTGGTTTGCGGGCAGGGTCATTGGACACATTTTTTAAAATAAATACCCTAATGATGATTGTGGACAATTTTGGTTAAATTTGTCTTAGTAGTTTCAGTGGAGAAGATTTTTGTAAAAGATTACAAAAATTTACGAAAAATGGTTAAAAATTGACTATAAAGGGCAATAACTCCTTAAGGGGTCAACTGACCATTTTGGTCAAGTTGACTTATTTGTAGATCATACTTTGCTGAACATTATTGCTGTTTACAGTTTATCTCTATCTATAATAATATTCAAGATAATAACCAAAAACGGCAAAATTTCCTTAAAATTACCAATTCAGGGGCAGCAACCCAACAACGGGTTGTCCGATTCATCTGAAAATTTCAGGGCAGATAGATCTTGACCTGATAAACAATTTTACCCCATGTCAGATTTGCTCTAAATGCTTTGGTTTCAGAGATATAAGCCAAAATCTACATTTTACCCCTATGTTCTATTTTTAGCCATGGCGGCCATCTTGGTTGGTTGGAGGGGTCATCGGACACATTTTTTAAACTAGATACCCCAATGATGATTGTGGCCAAGTTTGGTAAAATTTGGCCCAGCAGTTTCAGAGGAGAAGATTTTTGTAAAAGTTTACGGACGACGGACGACGGACGCAAAGTGATGAGAAAAGCTCACTTGACCTTTCAGGTCAGGTGAGCTAATAAAAATAAGTTCAGAAAAAGCACTTTTAAAACTACACATCATCAGTTGATTAAATACAGCTGGCATAAACAATCATAAATTATAACAAGCAAAAAAAGCTTAGAGTTACTGAATGTTAACTAAAATTACTTAACCTGATGATATACTTACTAATCTCTTCAAAATATAGCCTCTGTTGTGTCTGTGTGGGCAGATCTTCTTCAGATCTAGATGAAGGAAGTCTCATGTATCTATTAGTACTTGAACTCCTTTTAACAGGAATTGAATTTTGCCTTTTAAATGGAGACTTTGACGACAGCTGACCCTGTGTACTTTTTCGAGGAGGCTGAGGAGTGGACCAGTGAGTAGAAATTTGTCTGCTTGTTTGTGGAGAAGGATCTTTTACATTAACTTTAGAATCAATTTCATCATATCTTGACTTATTTTGTTGTGGAGTTTGCTTCCTTTGTTGTTGTGGTGAAGGATCTTTTATATTAACTCTGTAGTCAAGTTCATCATATGATGCTTTATCTTGTTGAGAAAACTTACTTTTTTGTGTCTCAGAATCATTCCGAGCTACTTTCTGTGATCTTTGACTAGAATCTCTTTGTGGCCTTTGTTTAATGTCAGATGGTTGAATTTTTGTACTAAAACTTTGTGCTGCACCATTTGAGTAATTTTCTGAATAACTCTTTACAGGGAGTTCAGGTCTAGGTGGAATTGGAGGTACTTTATCTGATTTTGATGGTGGGTAGGCATTCTGACGATCATACAAGTTAGACCTACCAGACGGTGGCTTGTCAATCAAGTCTACCTTAAGGTTTGTTTGTTTATTCAAAGTACTTGGAGGCAGTTTTACCCTCAGATTTACATCCAATGAATTATCAGGAATACAATGCCTAGTTTCCCCATTTGTTGACATCTGACTATTTTTAGAATGTGTTTCTTTTGACTTAGAAGTTTGACTTAAAGCATTTTGTAACAAGTCTGGTGGCAGTGTTTGTGATGTTGGTGGGTTATGGACTAGTTTCGATGACACATGTCCCGCAGTAACATGAGGTAACGATTTTCCTACATAACTACTTGATGAATTCGTTTTCTCTTCACTTTTAGATGACAAATCACTTCGTCCACTGTTCTGTCTTGAAAATAAACCTTCTTTTTCCTCATTTTCAGAATTCTGAACATTGAGTAAATGTTCACTGTGTGGACTACCATCTTTAGCACTTTTGAAGTCACTAGAATTGACATTTAAAAGAAAAGGACATAATTTGAAAATCCAGTGTGTTCTATTTTGTAATCCTTCTGTTATATGTGAATTTGATCCTCGTTTCTGATAAAACAATAAATAGGCTGATGATGTCTTCACTTCTGCTTCACTAATAGATTTCACTTTAGAATCATCAAACTCGTACCACTTTCCATCCAGTGGATTTTTACAGTAAGCTGAAATATATCGTTTAAATTTTACAAATGCATTAGTTTACAATCTTAAAATATGTATGCAGCATCAATTGTCCAACATTGTATTTACTTTGCTGTTGTCATATTTTGGTATTTTCAGTTTTAAAACATGCTCCCAGATTGTGATAAAATAGGCAAAAAACAATAAAGATATCATGAAAATATTTATAATCGTTCATTAAATAGCTTCTAATTTTTCGGGAAAAAAAAATTATTTTGATGGGAATGACCCCTCCCCCTTTGGAATGCTGCAGTATTGCTGTCTACCATAATTGTAATTGTTTTTTCATTCATTGTTATAGCATAAATCAAGTCATCATATTTATTCTTCTTTGTTTCAGATTTTGTCATCCTGGGGCCTTTTATAGCTTACTATACAGTATGGGTTTCACTCATTGTTAAATATAAAATAAGAAGATGTGGTATGATTACCAATGGAGACAAATCTCCACCAGAGACCAAATGAAATATAAGTTAACAACTATAGGTCACTGTATGGCCTTCAACAATGAAGAATACACATACCTCATAGTAAAAGGCTGTATTGTTACAGGTAATTGATCATATCTTTGTCATTTGTTTTTTTGGTTGATAGTTGTTTCATTGGCAATCATACCACATCTTCTTATTTTTACACGGAGAAAAGTGAGATGAAAATTACCTAAATTCAAAATCACCCTAACAACTTTCTAGAAGAAAAAAGACAAAGTTCATTCAAAAGCAAATTTGGACTAACAACTGAACCAGCCAGCTGGTCAATGACTATTTAAAGCAGCATTGTTAATCCCCTAGATCATACAGGAGAATAAGTCTAAAATATATGATTAAGCATTGTAATTTTTCATTATTAAAAAGCAATTTTTGTGTTGTAAATTTAAGCTTTTACCTGTATAATGGCCTCCTAACATGTTACCATAGTGATTACAGACACCATATAGATCATAAATGCCATGGTCAATTCCTGGTTGATTCCTGTGCAATATATGATCTGACATGTCCATACCTCTCACAGGAAAATCTACTAATGTATTTAGTTTATTCCTTCTAACACCAACCTGCAAAAACAAAATATAACCCAAGATATAAAATTCACTTAACAAAATTTAACTAAGGAAACCTTGTAATTCAAACACAATTTTCCGCCTGAAAGTTGAAATACTAAAAAAAAATCATTTTGCAATCTTGAAAGTGTTAACTTTTATCACCTTAAACTAAGGGTAATGCGAGCAAGGTAATAAAATAATAATCTTACTCAACAGATGTTCTAACATGGTCTATCAAATAAATGTGCAAGTCAAATTATCTCTTCTTGAAGCAGTCTTATTTGCTTCATGTCAATCTTTACATGGTGTATTTACTTTGATGATGATGATGATGGATGGCTGCTTAACGTCCAGCGGCAAATTAATATGCATATTAAGGACGAGAACATGTTAATGTTATATGAATATTAACCCTGCTTTGTACTAGACCGACATGCCGAGTACGTGCTAGTTCATAAGGTAACAGTCTGCAGGAAGACACATCACCTTACCCTGACACATTATTCTGACTCTGAGCCGACCAGTCTTTGCTCTTACTCCTTAATACTGTGTGCTTAGCGGAGAAGCAGCAAATACCAATTTCAAAGTCTTTGGTTTGACCCGGCCAGGGTTCAAACACACTACCAGGAGGCCACCAAGGTGGTATATTTTCTTTGAAATTCAAATGTTTCAGGAGTTGATTAATGATCAAGATGATTGTTATAAACTTTGTGAGTGGAGATAGAAATAGCTTTGACCTCTTTCTCTAGATAAAACTGAAGAGAGCAGGAAAACCTTACAGTTCATGTTCAGATTAACAATAATTATATATATAAATAATGCATGACAAAACAAAACTGCAAGTATGTTTTCACATTCTCTACCAGTAGCTTTATTCCTAAAGCAAAATTTACAAGGATTTTTTCATTAATCAAAACCACAAATCACCAATAAAACACTTATTTTTTGTTTGTCAGGAATAATGAGTTCCAAGGACCTACATTTTTCCACACACCATAAGAAAATAGTAAATTACATTTTAATTTGATTATTGGTAGATTAACATCCAGCATTAAATACATCCTTATTTAGGATAACATGCTTAAATGTTATATATGCATGACTTGAATTGCAATTTGAGATCGTTTTTAACATGAAAGCTCACAAGGTAAAATTCAACAGGACTATGAAGAAAATGTCACCTGAGACTGACACATTATTCTGACTAAAAATTTGCCAGTCTTTGCTTGTATAACTAAATGGTGCATGCTTGGTGGAAACCCAGCAAATAATTTTAGTCTTTTAAAGTCTGCACAACCAGAGGGGTTTGAAAACAACAATAAACAAGAATGTGTCCATAGTACATGGATGCCCCACTCGCACTATCATTTTCTATGTTCAGTGGACCATGAAATTGGGGTCAAAACTCTAATTTGGCATTAAAATTAGAAAGATCATATCATAGGGAACATGTGTACTAAGTTTCAAGTTGATTGGACTTCAACTTCATCAAAAACTACCTTGACCAAAAACTTTAACTTGAAGCGAGACAGACGGACGGACGGAATAACGAACGGACGAACGGACTCACAGACCGAAAAACATAATGCCCATAAATGGGGCATAAAAATTACTTTCACAGGAAATCCAACAAGATTTACAGGAATAGAACAACATTTAAATCAGAAGTCTAAGGACACCCTTCATTGAAGTGATATTATGAAATTTAAGATGTAACAATTCTCAATTTTGATTTTACATGCTTATGAAATTTTCACTCCAGAGAGCCAAAAGGTAAATCATATATAAACCTACCTGTCTGAACCTTTTCAGATGTATGACTAGAACATTAGGAACAGACCATAGTCCTAATGTTTTAGTTGCAGCTTGTTGATATTTGTGGCAATGAGGACAATTCCAGGCATCATCTCCACTTAGCTATAATATATTCATATATAATGAAATTGATATTTAATGTTAATATCACATTTTATTTTAATTTCTGACAACATAAAATCTAAATTTTTACAAGGAATGTCATTCAGTACTCGATAACTCCAGTATCGGTCGGTAGTACTGAGTATTGAATACCAAAATGAAACCCACTAAATTGATTTCTGTGTGAGGACATTGCTCGTTTTTTTTCATAAATTTCATTCTGTTGAGAACGATGCATTACTTCTTATCATCACACCTTTGCAAATGTGGTTTCTTTAAGATAACAAAATGTATCTGTTGTTTGATTTTATTTGACTATGTAATCATTTATATTCAATAGGTGTTTATCAAATTATTGATTAGATTATAAACTTGATTTAATTTCAAATAATCAATCAATTATTGGTATATAATTAGTGTGACTATTATCTTGTTTAAGATCACTTTGTAGCGGGTCTAACATCAATTAGACAACCCACAAAGTGTAAAATGCGTACAGTTTTGTTCCCTTTCAGAAATATTTTTCCAAACAACTGCTTGAGTATCGCTTAGAAAAAACAACTAGTACTCGATAACTAATTTTTCACCGAGTTGACATCCCTAATTTTTACTGTTTCATTTAGAGTGTTAAATTGATTGGTATTTTTATGAATTGCTCAATAATTTCAGCTAATCCTCTTGTATAAAGCTTTTGCTTTCTTAAATGGTTTATTTATATAAGAAATAGTATGTAAACATGGTAAACAGATATAATTATGGAGGAATAATAAAAAATTTATAATTAAGTTTTTTTTAATATATTTTTCAATACATGCTGAGTTTTTAGTTTTCTATGTAGTATTTTGTGTCCTGTTGTTTGTACTTTTGTTGTTTTTCGCCATGGCATTGTCAGTTTATTTCTATTTATGAGTTTAAATATCCCTTTGTTATCTTTTGCCTCTCTTTTATAAATGTTGAAATATTTTGAAAACCTGAACAACTCCATTATATTCTTGTGAAGCTTTTTTTTAATGAATGATTTATTCTTTACAAAAAACAACATGTAAATAGATAAAGCACTATTAAAATCTATAAATAAATGCATATTAAACAACAAATAAACTTACTGTTTCTTCTTTGGTAAATAGCTGTAAGCAGTTATCTAACGATACTCTAAATGGCTGTTGAGAACTATGACGCAATCGTTTAAAAGAATTATGCTCATCTACTCTGTTATTTTCAACTGCGATAACTCTAAGGGAATGAATAAAAAGAGAAATATACTCTTACTTACATTCAGGCATTTTTTTTTTATCATTTTCTACAGGGTTGAAAAAAATATCAAATCTGCCATATTTCCCGATACCTTATGATGTATCTTAAAATATTGAATTCCATGTCATAATATAGTCCGGTATGTAATGTGTGACATACACTGAAAATGCCCTTTTCATCAAAAGGACTGGTTTGTTTCACTTAAAGAGTCCCTTTTCTATCAATTACCATGCTCTTTTCAAAATGTAGCTAGAAAACTGTAAGGTAACCTTGAAAATAACTTTTTAACCAAGTCACATGTATATGCCATTCAATGCTTGACAAACAACTTCGGGGCCAACTACTTGCATTTGTAATGAAAATATTTAATGTATGGATATTCCACTTTTTGTGCTCAAGTTAGAGTGGCTGGCTTAGGGACGACATCAAAAGTTCAATGTAGGATAAAAAACTTAATTCACATAGTTTTTTCACTGACCCCCCCACCTCCCTCTTAACTTAATTTGGGAAAAATTGATTGACCAATATGGGCATATGCTTTTCAGAGTATACTTTTTGTGTCATGTGTCCTGTTTTTCCTCAACAATGTATTTTTGTTCTGTATATTGATTTGACTTGGACATCACTTTTAAAAAATATTGGAAAAAATTGTATTTTTAGTATGCATCAAAAAAGGCACTTTAAATTATAATTTTATAAACACTACAGTCAGCATGGATTCTGCATTTTTCATCTGCCCACTATTGGCATTGATAAATAGTGGGTTTATAGTTTTGATTGTTTTTGTTTTTTTTCTCAAAGGAATATAAAACAGTTCATTGTTTCATATAAAATATATGGCTTTAAACTAAATAGTGGTCCATTGAAATGTATGGTGATGACAGGGCAATGCATTTGTGGCAACTCAGGAGAGAGGGAAAATCACAATCCCAAATGAATGTAGTGAATGTTATAATGATATGATCTATTATGTAATTTCTATTCAATGTTTGTTGACCACTGTCATATTTTTCTGCTATCTCAAAAAATTCTGTATAACTTTCAAATTTTTATTAATTGAATTTATATTTCAGTTTTCATTTTAATAATTAAATAATAAACCCAATTCTTAGAAAATTTTATAGTTTGTTTTTAGAATGCCACCATGCCGTGTGGACCAAAACAATCTGTGTTGATCTGTATATGGTTTCATATCATTCAAAATTCACGGTCGATAAAGCGTTTGAACGACATAGATGCTATCATTAATTTCGACCCAATACTTTCGGCCAAAAATTTGCTTTCTGGTACGATTTGTTGGCTTTCATTTGGTTTTTAAAGTCCAAACATATGTTAGGACCGAACTTGAATCCGTATTTTCCAATCCAAAAATCGATGTCTGATAACAAAACTTGCAGAGATTTTTACCCCCACCCCCAAACTATTTGAATTAAGTTTTTTATCCTACATTGAACTTTTGATGTTGTCCCTTACATCATCAATAGAATAGAGAATGGAAACAGGAAATGTGTCAAAGAGACAACAACCTGACCAAAGACAAAAACAACGACCACCAATAAGTCTTCAAAACAGCGAGAAAATCCAGCACCCAGACGCGGGCTTCAGTTGCATGTAAAACTGATTTCACTCAATCATATTTTGTGAATGTATCAAGTCATGCTATCTGGACCATGTGTTGTTTGTTGTTGTTTTTCTGTCTATTTTTTTTACAGTATCAACACACTAGAGATAGTAATTATGTTTTCACATTGTTTCAGGTTGATTGTTCATGTTTAAAAATATAACTATTATCTACAGTATTTTGTTTGTTAATACTAAACTTCCCAAAATATTTTTTTCATTCATACTTGTTTCCAGTTAATTTTGTCTATCAATGATTTGTTTATGCTTCATGCTCTGTTGTCATTGCAAAGTACAAAATAGTTCTACATTTAATTGACCTATAGCTTTGAACTGCTGCATAATAATATAAACTGTTATCACAGAGATATGTCTCGCCTTTTTGTAATTTTGATAATGCAAATGTTGAAATTAAAATAGCAATACTTTAACATGTAAGTTATGCAAATATTCAAATTCAATGAACCATGACTTGAAATGAGATGTGCCAATTCTAATACAACTGCATACCAAATACCATTGACTTATACTTGCAAATGACAATAAATTTGCATACCAAATATCATTGACTTAACATTAGCAGTTCATCTTAAACTTATCTAATCACAAACTAATACATGTAAACTAAGCAAAATTTTCAAAGTCAATAGACCATGACTGAGGGGGCGAGGCCAAACATTCTCCATGGAAATGAGATGTGCTAATGCTTATACAACTGAATACCAATTAACATTGGCCTACCACTAATGGTTCCCCTTGAACTTAACTTATCACAAACTAACACATGTAAACTAAGCAAAATTTTCAAAGTCAATAGACCATGACTAAGGGGGGCAGAGCCAAATAATCTCCATGGAAATGAGATATGCCAATGCTTATACAACTGCATACCAAATATCACTGACCTACCACTAGTGCTTCCCCATAAACTGACCTAATCACAAACTAATACATTGTTGACGCCGCCACCGCTGCCGGAAACAGCATACCTATGTCTTGCTTTTTGACTCCGTCAAGGCAAGACAAAAATCGCTATGCCTGATGATATACAATTTTGTGTAAATTTGTTATTAAAATAAGATACCTTGATTGGACTGCAGGTTCCCATTCAGCCACAAGTTTGAGATGCTGAGGTCCATACTCATCTCTGCACATAGACATTGCCCTGTTAAAATATAATCTTAAATGTGCATACATGTACGGGTATGTAGTGAACTAAGTAATTGGTTTTTGATTAAATTTGTCTGCGGCATATTTACCCTTTTGTAATGAAATCTGAATTGAAATATTTATTTTATGCATCAATTAGTTCTTGTCCCGAATTTGCTAGAAATATTTGCCACTGGACGATAAGCAAACTTCAACCAAATTTTTTTTTACGACTGATCAAAATTTTTCTAATAATTTATGTGTTCTCATTGTCCGATTATTTTTAATTTTCTGCTGATTCTTTGAACTTTTCATGTTTAATCTGTAACTTTCACACACTTTCTTAAATATAAATAACATTTCCAAAATCAGCATTGTGAAGGAACTATGAAAATCATGCTGAATCATTTCTTATCCCTTATTTTTTATTGTACAAAGGAAAGCACCTTTCTTCACCAATATTCAAACTTAATTCTAAACATTCTCAAAAAATCTCTCAGATCAAAGTTATAATAACAGTTTACTTTTATAGCAGAAACATAAAATTATTCAACTTGGTGATGTTTGAATAACCAAATGTCCTTATTTTGATATTCTCGAAATTTCTTCATCAATTACATGCACTGATATACATTAACAAATTATAATTTTAATTTTAAACCAAAAAAAACACATTTGGATGTTGAGACATCATCCAAACATATACCTCATTTGCCTGTTACTTTTGTATATTTTATTCCATTCCTTACCTGTCCACCAGATTTGTTAACAATGGCATTTCCACATCCTGTTGTAAGTACCCCTTACCAGCACTGCCATCAACAACTCGGATTTTAAACAAAATACCTAATTTCTGTAACATAAAATATATATTTTAGAATACTAGCTTTTTAACAGTTCTAAAGTAAATTTGCAACTGACATATATATGTAAGACTCACATCCATGGAAGGTTCCAGATCTATGTCAGATATCAAATCTATGGTAAATATGATGTCATGCCATCCTAAATCTATGGCAGATTTTTTAGAATCCAAATCTTTGGCAGATTTTCTATAAATGGATGACCAGTCAGTACATATCTGACTAAAAGAGAGTGAAATGAGGTGCTCCCGAAGCCGGTAGGAAGTAAAAGTCAGTATAAGAAATATGATAAGCAGGGGTTCAAATTAGTGGTGATTCGAGGTCTATGACATTCCATTTACGAGTTCAGACCTTCCTGCTGGTAGTTAGTTACACCTGATTGACTTTCGTATTTTTGCAGGTTACAACTAGATGTGTCGAGACGACACGAATGGCCCCGTCTCAAAAAGTTGAAAAATCTGCAATTTCAACAACACATGTGGACACAAACATGCATAGTATCCAGCTCTCAAGACCAATACTAGTTAATGAAAAATTTTCTTGATCAATGAGTAGTTAAATTTCAAACTATCAGCAAACAGGAAGTGGATGTACTGCAGATCAAACAAGATGTGTTGAAACGACATGAAAATCAGCATAGCAGAACTGAACTTAAACTTGATCTGTTTCACATCATGGTTAACTCATATACCAAAAATCAGCCCAATATCTGAAGGCGTTTAGAAAAAAAGTCCGGATAACTGTTATTTTCACCAATTTATCAAAGTCCAAAGTCCGTAATTTCGGCAAAAATTAGCAGAGTGGAACGAAACTTAAACTTGATCTGTAACTCATCATGGTTTACTCACATACCAAAAAAAAAAGCCCAATATCTGAAGGCGTATAGAAAAAAAGTCTGTATAACTGTGATTTTCAACAACTTATCAAAGTCCAAAGCCCATAATTTCAGCAAAAATTAGCAGAGAGGAAAGAAACTTAAACTTAATCTGTAACTCATCATGGTTAACTCACATACCAAAAATCAGCCCAATATCTGAAGGCGTTTAGAAAAAAAGTCTGTATAACTGTGATTTTCACCAATTTATCAAAGTCCAAAGCCCATAATTTCGACAAAAATTAGCAGAGGGGAACGAAACTTACACTTGATCTGTAACTCATCAGGGTTAACTCACATACCAAAAATCAGCCCAATATCTGAAGGAGTTTAGAAAAAAAATTGTGTATGATGGTTTGTTGCGGAATGACGGACAAGGGTAAAACTATATGGCCCTGACAACTTTGTTGAGGGGCCATAAAAATTTTAAAACCTAGTAATTTATGTTGTGTTTGCCTAAATTCTTCACAATTGATTTGAAGTGCAGTCAAGGGACTAGTCATCGTACAAGATTCCCGGAGATTCAGGAATATATGTAATATTCAAACATAATTAGTAAACAGTATTTTTGGTTTTGGGGTGATCTCTTCCAAAAGAAAACCTGATGAAACAGGTGATACAGCAGGGCTGATGGATGAAATGCAGCCCGAAAGACAGGATCTGACTAAAGACCAAAATATGATAGGGAAAAGTGAAAAACGTAAATTTTTCAATGATTCAACTGGTTTATCCCACATACAGTGAAAGAGTGTCCTGGTTTTTTGGACAAAAATTGCCCCAATAAAAAATCATGAAACTACCTTACAGCATCTAGCTATCTTGCCAAAAAAGCAGTGTTTAAAAGAAACTGACCCCCAAGTTTGAAAACAAAGTCAAGCTGTTATCTGACATAAAGTTAGTCCAGTGTGTTCTCAAGCATCGATTGAAACCAGATCAATAAAAAGTGTACAAAGTGTTATTTTTCACAGTGTATAGTGTTAGGATAAAGGAAAAGTCTTTCTGACTGAACTTATTTGAGAAATCCTGAAAAAAAATGATGTTGATGTAGAAAGATATGATGAGTGCTTTGGAATGGTAAGCATATTCTGTTTTTACAAATTGATTTTCAATTAAATTTGACCTTCTACAAGTCAAGGAGGACCTTTTTTGTATTTTTGGCCAAAGGTCCTGGACCTTCCATTGCCTAAAGTTAATTTGAACCCCTGATAAGTACATCAACAGGAGCATACAAATGAATCCATAACCATTTGTGAAATGGACACTTAATAATGGTCAGTTAAATTGTGATGGCGACCATAAAATTTCTTAAGTGAGGAAATATTATACACTGATACAGACTTAAGGTGTGAAATGATGTGCCCGGGAGAATAAGCATTTCTTACTCTGTGCACTGCACCTGTTTAACACAGTCATTTAACAAACTAGCCAAAATGAAAGTCCCTTAACAAACCAAAATGCAGTTTGTATAAACAGATATTCAATGAGTTTTGCCCTCATTAGCGGCGGCAACAACATAATATGATGTTATTTAATTGTGATGTTACAGGTTACACTTTTTTCGTGGAAATTTTTTTAATCTGCAATAGATTTGGAGAAAAAAAAATTGCCATAGATTTATGATTTGTATGGTGTTTGTTACGTCATATTTGCTATAGATTTGAAATCTGCCATAGATCTGGAACCAACCATAGATTTGAGTCCTACATATGTTTATTGAAATATAAATGCAATATAAGAAATGTGAAACAAAATTACCACTTATAAGTAGATAATGACTAAAATGATCAGATTATACAGATTGTTTCTTTAACCATAGAGGATGGTGTAAAATTCACATACAAGATCTTATAATGGGAGATAACCCACCTTTATTGGAATTTCTGCATCTTTCTTTGCTCTTTGCTTATTCCTTATTTTTCTGAGATACAATTCTTTTCATAAATAAATGGTTACTTGCTTGAGCTCACATTTTCATTGTTTGGAATTCAATAATGATGTGACATTTATTTGCCATTCTCTGTTTTTGCTATTTTAAAATAATGAATAAGAACAACTCTGGAGATATTTCACTACAAAAACTGCTTTGATAACTGAAAGGGCCTTAGAAATACACAGAGTCTGAACAGGGATTTCCAATATTCAGACTAACATGGATTGTCTGTGTGTTTGCACACAATCAAACTGTTGGAAAACAAACATATTGCATTACATGTTATTTGCAACCTCTTAAGCCCAAAATTGAAATAAAGTCTTTTGAATGCCATAAAAAAAATTTAAACTAGACACTTAGGATGATTGTGTCCTAGTTTGGTTTCAATTGCCAACGTGATTTCAAAACAAAAACAAAAATGAAAAAAAGGTTAAAGTCAGATGAAAATTGATAATGGACAACAAGTAATTACAAGAGTTCACATTGGCTTGAGGCCATATGAGTTAAAACAAAACATGTATCAACTAAAAATTGTGAGGAAAACAGCTCTTGGAAATTAATTTTTTACTATATATATAGATTTTTAAGGTTGTCTTATTTGTGCAACAATTAACATGTATATAGTGATATGCTTTTATCCTCATTTGATAGCACTTGTTTATCATAGTTGTATTGATTTTGTATAAACCTTGAAGGAAAATTTGACCTTACGATTTGTTTATAACAAACTGCAGGCAATAATCCATTTTAATCAGATTACATACACCATAAATAGATTTTTAATGTGAAAGCTGACATCAATCCAGCTTAAAGAAGCAAAGAAAATATAAAATAATTCTTACTATGAAACATCAGGATTTCAATATTTTATTAATGATAATTTATTTATCTTTGAGTCATTTGGAAAATAAATATCGTTCATGAACATATTTATTTTTAACAATCCTATTCTTTAAGTAATGGTAAAGAAAGAAAAGAGAACAAAATAAATTTTTCAGAATCTTACAATATTTCTCCATTCTAGTATTAAAAGTTTTGTAAATACAATATGCAAATAGCTACCTGAGATAATAAACCGTCCTTTACACAATCTGTCATATGCTTCAAGATTTCTCTTTGTAATGTTTTGTAGTCAATATCTCTGTCAACTTTCAGAACTTGAGGTGGACTGAATCTAATGCTGCAAGGATAATGTTATGTTCAAAATCATTAATTCCAGGACAATAAAATGCTTCTGTTAAAAGCATAAATGAAGGTATACTTTTATGGTACATATTAATATTGAAAATTCCTTCGGAAAAATAACACAAACTAAATTGCAGGGAATAAATTCATACATATTCTGATACAGTTTATATCAAATTAAGTTTCTTTTAGTAATCACCTCTGAAAAATTATTACTAAATAAAACATGTCTAATTCACACACATGGTTTTGATGACAATCATTTGACAGCACAATTCTTATATTAGTTTACAGCATGACCCATCATGTTTACATAAAGTTTTGAACGGCTCCGGATTCAGAGCTTTATTTTATTGACACAGACTATATTATGACCTCTAAATGTGTTTTCATTGAGTTAATTTTGCATCTTTAGGTTAAGCATCACATTGACATGTACCCCACAATCCTCCATGTCACATTTACTTCTCATCAAAACATAATTTGTGATTTCGTTATTATAATGAATAAAAGGTATATGCCTATAAGATCATAAACCCCATGACAAAGAAACCTAAGATGATATCTATACATGTAGACTATATGTGCAGAAACTGTCATCACTTATAAATCTAATGTATAATTACTATTTAATAGGAGCTGATTCTCTAATGGAATGCACAACAATCAGCTGAAGGTATGGTGACTCGGTACTCTTTGATACTGGTAAAGGTAATGTCTCTATAGCACAGATAATCTCTGTCTCAGAAATATCACTAATTGGCTGGTCATCACTAAATGTACATCTAAATCCATCCTCTTGAATCTGACAAAGGACAAGCTGAAACACACACACATACACATTTTAATATCAAATGTTCATCCTCTTTAAACATAAAGGAGACAAAAAAATATGTATAGAACCATCATAAAACAGACAAATATGTATAGAACCATCATAAAACAAACAAATATGTATAGAACCATCATGAAACTGACAAATATGTATAGAACCATCATGAAACTGACAAATATGTATAGAACCATCATAAAACAGACAAATATGTATAGAACCATCATAAAACAGACAAATATGTATAGAACCATCATAAAACAGACAAATATGTATAGAACCATCATAAAACAGACAAATATGTATAGAACCATCATAAAACAGACAAATATGTATAGAACCATCATAAAACAGACAAATATGTATAGAACCATCATAAAACAAACAAATATGTATAGAACCATCATAAAACAGACAAATATGTATAGAACCATCATAAAACAGACAAATATGTATAGAACCATCATAAAACAGACAAATATAAAAAGTACAAACTATGCATAAAGGGAAAAGCAATAATACATAGTTTGATGTATCAATATTCAATATTTCCCAGATTAGTTCAAATTGTTTGTTTGATCTTTACATTTTTAACATGTTTCAATTTGGTTTCCACTGCTATTAATTAAATGCCCTTATGCAAGTCAAAAGATTTTTTTTTTTTAGTTTTACCAACTTTCTGCTGGTTCTCATTTCCTGTCAGTTATTTTACAATACTTTAATCTTCAGAATGAGTAGATTCTGTCTGAGTACAGTCAGGTTGTTGTTTTAAATGCTCAAGTATCTTATACATAAAAACCTAAGGAGATTTTAATATTCATAATGTGATAATCCTTTTAATAAATCATATTATAAGCAAAATGGAGACAACTCAAAATGTTAAAACAGATGATCTATAAATAGACGTCCAAAAGGGAATTTACATGTACGTCAATAAATTATATCCATTACATTTACACGTTTTTACTTGAGATCATTCAAATGAAATAAGTGATGTTTGCAATGGGTTTGTCCATCTGTCTATTTAGTCCCGTCATCAGAACTCTTTTCATTCTATGTTGCATTTTTTTACTGTTACCAGTAAATACAAATGTAGTTCTATTCCTATAACCAAGTGTAGATATGCAACAATGTTTCTTTATACTGAATTTCTCAAAATGATTCCTATTTTAGCAATGAATATGTAAAATTGATATTGGGGATCTGGTTTTTAGAAATCCTGTTTCAGTTATTGCTGCTGGTCTCAAACAGTTATATATTATTTTGCTTAACCATATGTAGATGTACATGTACTTGTACAATTAACTTTTAATTTACTAGCTCCAATTTTCTGCAAAGCTGGTGCAGCACATTTTTTTACCAAAACTGAAGAGGAGTTTTGCAGACTTGATTTAGTAATTGGACATTTTGAGGTAACTATTGGCCCCCATACAAAAATTAAAAAATCTTATTGCATATAAAATTTAAGCACATGGGGGGAGACAATTCTATATAACGAAAAAATAATTGCAGATCAAAAAATTTCATTTTTTAGTTCTGCAATTTCTGTTTTATTTAATGTATGATTGATAAAAGTCATACATTGTTAGTGTTTAAATTGTAAGGTTTTGCTAAATAATTGAAACATCTTATTCTAGTTAAATTGCTAGATAAAGGATTTACAATGTTTCACACGTAAAAAAAAAATACAGCAGAAATGGATGTGTATAATGTGGAATAAAAATTCAGCAATTTTCCATTTGCAAAGGGGCATAACTCTAGAATGATTAAAGTGGCACCACCAAAATTCAAAATTGAACTGTGTTTTGTGGTAATAAGCATTGTGTATAAGATTCATAACATTTGGTTGAGGCAAACTTAAGTTAGAGAAAGGAAACGAAAAATTCAGCAATTTTGCCATTTGTAAAGGGGCATACATGTAACTCCAGAACAGGAAAAGTGACGCTACACAAATTCAAACTTGATGTGTTTTGTGGTTATAAGCATTGTGTATAAGTTTCATAACATTTTGTTGAGGCAAACTAAAGTTAGAGAACGGAAACCAATTTTGGGACGTACAGAAGGACAACGGTAAAACTTAATGCCCCCTCCGCTACGACGGGGGCATAAAAAACATTTAACTACCTGTGAAACTGCTATCTTTGTATTTTCTGCAACAGTTTCTCTTAATTCTCTGACAGTATCTTGGAAACAAATTTCTACACCAACTTTAATTTGTTTTGGGTCTCCATCCAGATAGACAATTGTAACAAATACTGGTCTTTTAGTTTTGTGAGGCAATGGCAGAGACAAGCAGAGGTAGCTTTCAAATGTGTTACTCTGTTTACTACAATTGGCACACTGTAAAGATGACCTATATAAAGCCTGGAACATGTTGTACATAAAACATCCATGACTGTTCGCAAGGACTTCTTCTGCAAGTGATTCATCTGAAGAATCTTTTCCCTGTAACATAAAAATAGTAAATATAAATGTACATTTTACATGTGCGTTAAAAAATATATGTACGAAAATCTGAGCTAGCCAATATTTTTTTCTTGTTTATTAAGCACCTTCACTTGAACGTTCTATGTTCAAAGTACAACAGAGGTCTTAACACAAAACAAACAAGTTGTGTGTCATATATTTTTTTGTTTACTCACTTACAACACATTCTTTCAAATCAGATTTAATCTGAATGTTAAATTTCATTTAAAAACCCTTTTTCCTTTTATTATGTCATGCATATTAAATGTACATGTACATTGCAGATTTTGACTGTCAATGATACAATCTGAACAAATATTACATACAGTATACATTATTGTACATGTACCCAAACATGTATTAAAATGAAAATACAAAAAAAAGTCCTTTTTAATGAAAATCATTTTTCTAATTAAATAAAAAAAAAAGGTTTTTATAATAAGATTTCATTTCTATTTTCATTTTACTTAGTGAATACACACATACATTGTACAATGTAGATACACACACACTTGTATCAATGTAAACAAATAGTTCTGTGAGATTTCTGTTTGCAAATTTATACAGTTGTAAGTTCCATTAAATTAAATTTTAATCCAAACAAACAATTTCAGTAAAAGTTTCTTTTTTCGCCAACTGCTGTTAAGGATTATGTACCCTTGTGTTGGCTCAATGCTAAATCCACAGCCTTTCCCCTTGTACTCTCATATTTGGCAATTTAATACTTGATAGATAGATGATAATTGCATGCCGTGCTAGCAATGATTTCCTTAAAACAAGTTTATAAATTTAGATATTGGTTAAAACAAATATAAAAATGGACCATATCAAGTACACCTTTTAGGGTGCCCTCGACTTTAGTGACGCAGCACGAGGTGTTTTGGAATTTAAAGGTTTTTTATGACTTTTTGTAAACAATAAACGCTAGCTGATCATAGAAAAACAAGTAAGTAATCTATGTTTAAAATTTTATAACAAAAATCTCTGTATTAAAGTCTGTGGATTTTCTACAAAAATCTTGGTTTTATTTTCACCAAATTCTCTTTTCCTACTAAATGCAATTAAACTATAAATAATAATGCGTTGCATGAAGTTTCCCCTTGATATATGTATAAAATGGTCCATCTCTTTCATTCATTATCTTTGCTGTTTTTATACTATTGAAGATTGAAAATTTCGTAATTGACAGGCCACAGAAGGGGTTATAAACCTTAATTTTGAAAAATTTAATCTTCAAAAAGATCAACTGATATACATGTACATGAATAAGCTAAGAAACTTTGGTTGACAGCTGGGTTATGTGTATATAGAAACAGTGCTTTGAATAACCAGGAACTTGCATTGTAAATTTGTTGTAGATGTTATTCTGAAAGAATTAATGGTAAACCAATTGAAATTGACTTATTGAACCAATGCCTGAAATTTAATTGCCATCAAAATGTGTTTTGATTATAACGATACTGTGTGCAAATGAAGATATCATACACATTAAATAAAAACAATTTCACACTATACTGTAAAAACAGGTACAATGTAAGTCTCATCTGCCCTGCAGCAAAATCAAAAACAGAAATTTGATTAACTGCCATATTACTATGTACATGTACATTTTGTATACAGAAATTGATAAATCACTTATCAAAAATGTCCAAACATCAGCTGATTTGACAATTTAAATAATGATATTACTTTTGTACATCAATTTTTTTTTAATCTAAAATTCTAAATTAAAAAGACATGTGGTATAACAATGGGTGCCTTGATTGGCATAAAGAGTAAATTAGGTCTTGAGTTACATGTACATGCATTCTAATTCCAATTAAATGTACACTGAAATGTAATTCAAAGTCAGACTTATGAAAGTTACAAACATGTCCAATGAACATGCATACATGTTTGTACTTCTTACAAAATAAAATGGAAAAGTAATACCCAAGTTTTGACATTCATGACAAAAATTATTATATTAAACATAAACATAATTTTGAAAATGAACCTTGGTTGATTTATGCTTCTTCTTTGTTGTTAAAGCAAGTTCTTCATTAATGCTGTCTAGCAACCACAGAAGAAATTCTTGAGCATCATGCTGAGCTGAACCTTTGTATTGACTGTTGTATTTTCCAACAGTACTCTTAAAAGAACTTGATATATCAGGAGAATAATTATTTGACCATAAACTTTCTAATAGTGTCCCTAGTTGTTCAGTTAAATCACTTTTACTGTTGCTGAATTTCTTAGAAAAGCCTCTGGTCTTCAAGTCATTTCTGTGTTGCTTTGCTGCAAAATACCCTGTTATAGCGTCAGTATTACTAAGGCATTGTAGAACTGCATTCATAAAACATGTATTGCCATGGTTTTGAATTCCAACTGTTCCTGGACACACCTTCCATGGCAAAGTTACAGTCATAGGTCTAGTAATAAGGGGTCTTGAAGTAGAATCCGATACGCGCTTAATAGTTGCACCAGAATCTGTCTTTATGCCATCATTTACATGAGGATTATAACCTCCCTTTGCTCCATTCATATCCTGTCTCACATCAGTTGATGAATGACTATGAGCAGAACGACGAATACGACTAACCAACTTTTTAACAGACTTAAACAATGGTTTATTACGACGCTTATCCTTAGTCTGTAACGTAAAATAACCCTTTTCACTACTTATTATTTCCTCATCTGAGTTTATTTGATCAGATAGACGGTTTCCAAAACTTCTACTAAAATTTCTGTGGTCTAGGGTCAATGAATGGTTTCCACCATTTTGTACTACTTTTTCATCTAAAACATCACTTTCAGAGGAAGCTCTCTGTCTTCCTCCTGGAATATTTTCATTCATAATACACTAAATTAATACAGATTGTCAACAGACGCGAATGCGTCACATTAAAAACATTGGTTGTTGATTTCCTGTTCGCCATGATTGATTCGTCTGTAAAAATTCTAACCTAAAAACTCATACGCCGAACGACTGTGATACGATTCCGGAATTAGATTTTGTTGTTAATTTTTTTATTGAGTCTGTGGCACCTTTTTAATGACGAATACATTTCAAAGATAATTCAAAAGGTTGTACTTATTAAAATTATGGACACACCTCTAGTTTTTCGAAATAACACAACTTAATAATTTGCCGCCAAAATGAGAAACTTACCTTTCGGACACCTGACGACTTTACCAATCATATCTCGATAGAGCAGAAGAGCCACATGTATGGAAAATTAGGAGTAAATTTGATATTCATTCTTATATGTCTTATGAAGAGTAAACCATGTATTGTCAATAAGTTTTTAATGTACTTCTAAAAGATATAGGAAGATGTGGTATGAGTGACAATGAGACATTACTCTCCATCCAAGTTACAATTTATAAAAGTAAACCATCTAAACCCATGATAAAGACAAAGTTGTCATTTTCATATTGAATATTGAATATATAAACCATTTTGCATTTCCTCATACTATTGTGGCAGCGATTTATAGTATTCTTTTTATATTTTACTTTGTATATTTTATAACTTAACCAATTTTCCATTTCAGCGAATTATTTCAATAAACTATAAAAATATTTAATTTGATCTAAAGTTGTTAAAATATTTTGAAGACATTTTCTGAACTCATTACGCTATAGCTTTCCGTTTTCCAAATTTAGTCCCTGCTATGGTGTAATGAATAATTGACCATTGAAGCATATGATTATCCTGTATTGAACCCCATACAGTTAGTACTGCAGTGCAGGTATGACGTTTTCATGTACTATTGGTTAGTACAGTGAGTACATTTAAGTTCTGCCGCATTGGACTTTTCGATGGTATTCATTGGGTAATTTGTACATTATTTTCAATGCCTCTGTCTTGCTATTTCACTTACGGTTTTCATTGTGAGGTTTATATTATTTGGAACTTTCTTTGAAGTTAGATGTTATTTGTACCTGACTATTATTCTGGACCTTTTTGGACATTTTTGACAAACATACCATATAGTGTCCTGGAATAATTGTATTAGTGTTTATGGCAGTGGATTTTGATAACTCAATCCCACATATTGAGTTACATTTTCCTGGTATATAATAAAGTATTTGAACCGTTGGAGTCTATAATTAAAAGCCCTTATACGACCCTATCACACTATTGTATACATCTATGGTCTTAAATAATGAAATGTGAACAAGAATAAAGAAATAAATTAATGAAAATGACTTTTCAACCTCAACTTCGTTACAACCCTGCTTTAATGATATTCATATATTCATGAATTAGGAAGAATATTCATGAATATTCATGAATATTCCAGTTTTATTCATGGGTTCTATTCCAGTGTCAAATTTATTCATGAATAAACTGGAATATACATGAATTCTTAATAACTGTATGAAGACAACCAAAAAGAATTGTTAAATTGCCTAAAGCTTACTATAATGAAGTTTTTTTCTTTCTAAAACTAATTTGGGGACAAAAGAAACCTTTTTTTGGGACATGAATAATCATGAATAAACTTGAATGTTTGGACTTAGAATTTTTCTAAAACATATAACATGAATAAGGATGAATAATGATGAATGAAATTTGGACTTAAAACATTTCTTGATTGTGTGACAAACATGAATAAGCATGAATAAAGCTGTTACCGATGAAAAATGTAATTTGTTCTAGGATTTTGTTGTTTATTTGGACATTTTTTGGCTGATGAAAAAAATCATGAATATTTCATGTGACATCAAGTCCTTATGTTTGGTTTTTTCAATGACCCCACCCTAAAACTGCTGCTTTGAAAAAATGGATGCCCTTTTCTTAATATTTCTCCCCACCTGCTGCTTCTTTAAATGAAAGATATCCACATTAAAAGAAAAACTTGATTTAATATTTTAATGCACTTGATAGATCAATTAATGGAAGTAAAGATGAAAAAAATAATTTTCAAAATATTTATATTTTAAGTGTTTTCAGGTTAAAAATAATTAAAAGTAATATTCTGATATGCATTTGCATTCAATTTGTTTTATATTTTTTTTTTTTTTAGAAAAAAACCCAATAAATTTAAGGTATTATATTGTGAAAAGGTGATAAAAAAGGGGAAGTAACTGAAACATTTTTGAAATACACAAATTATTTATGACATAAAGCAAAGTTATTGGTGTTAATTAACAATGTGTTTGACACCAAAGCTGTCAGATGAAGCCCTGCACTTAATGGGTCACTTAATTTGACAGTTTACACAGCTAGCTGAACTTCCTGTTCATGGAAGAATTACGAATTTCATTTTGACAGTATTTCAAAGTCAGAAAAATGCCGAGATTTTCGCGATAAAAACAACAGGGCCCCGGGGAAACGCCAACGGCTGTTTTGCCAGACAAGCTGGATCGTTTGATTTTCTACCTGTTGTCCGGCATTTAAATAATTTAGAAAAATTATCAGATCAATGATAGGCCAACGATCGACATCGTAAACCTTGGTTTCTCAACTTATGTAAAATGTAAACAAGTCATGACCACGTGGTTTTTTTGTTATTGTACTGAACAGTCCGACCCTAGAAAATACCGTCCTAGATAATTCGGCCACTAGTTCATCCGCATGCACCCTGTGCCGATTAAATTAAAGTTGTTTTTTTCTTATTTTTAAAAACTGGCCAGTAATAAATACTTTTATACGACACCCTTGATTTATTTTTATAATACCGTTACGGGGAAGGATCAACTTCTGGCCGATATAATATGAGGCGAGATTGTCACCTTGACGTTCGCTTACTTGATAAAACGTCATCAAAATGTGGTTACGCTGTTGCAGAATCGAAAACATAGAAGATGTGAAGATGTTTTCAGATAAGTGCATTAAAAATTTAAAATTAAACATGTGTATATAATGAGATTATAAAATATTAATTTATTGAGGAACTATGATTTTTTTTAGAGTTTTTATTAATATTTGAGCAAATCAACATCAGAAAGTCTGAAAGCATAAACTGAAAATATATATTTATTTTTAACAACATTGAATAATCTTGTTGTCACATAACAGGCATGACTGGTAGATATGTAAAAATTTAATTGAATTGTGTGAATGGTTTATTGGTTATTTGGTGAAAATAATAAGTAGCTAGTTTTTTATACGACCGCAAAAAAATTTTGTGGTCGTATATTGGTATGACGTTGGCGTCGTCGTCGTCGTCGTCGTTGTCCGGCGTCGTTGTCCGAAGACACATTGGTTTTCGCACTCTAACTTTGGTTTAAGTGAATGGATCTTTTTGAAATTTGACCATAAGGTTAAATACCACAAAAGGAAGGTTGGGATTGATTTTGGGGGTTATGGTACCAACAGTTAAGGAATTAGGGGCCAAAAAGGGGCCAAAAATAAGCATTTTCTAGTTTCCAGACAATAACTGTGGAACGGTGTATGGATCTCTCTGAAATTATACTACAAGTTTCCATACCACAAAGGGATGGTTAGGATTTGCTTTGGGGGGTTATGGCTCAAACAGTTTAGGAATTAGGGGCAAAAAAGGGGGAAAAACAAGGTTGTCCTGGTTAATGGACAAATACTTTAGTACAAAACATAATTTAAAGCAGTGTAAGGGAGATAAATCAAATACATCATTGAAATTATCTCCCTTACACTGCTTTTAAATTATGTATAAAGTAATGGTTAATGAACAATAAAGATAATTTAAAACAGTGTAAGGGAGGTAATCCAAATACAACGTTTTGGTTACTTCCCTTACACTGCTTTTAAATTATGTTTAAAGAAATGCATATTTATAAAGGAAGACCAGTAAAAATATCTGCGAATGTTGCATCTTTTTTTTTTACAAAAAAATCCATATGAAAGATTTGACACTATATTTTTAATTCTATTATAAAATAGATTAAGTTAGCACTATGGTAAATTTAGATGGGTAATTATGGTTGCCAACTCCATTGGAAATTTGAATTGAGATTATGACCATATCTTGAGGGAAAGAATTTTTTGGGGGAAAAAAGGGGGTGGGGGGATAAAAAGAAATTGTGGGGGGTCAATTTTTTCTCATTTCAGATTTCAGAAATTAAAAAGAATTATTCTTCAAATATTATTTTTTTTTCAAATTTCAAATATTGAAAAATTTCAAGAAGAAATCTTTAATTGCACAGTATGGCGCATTAGATTTGTAAAATCTTTGATCACATTTATTTATTTGTTATGCCGAATCTAACAGTGTATTTAGATTTTTAATTTTGGGTCCAGTTTTCAAATTGGTCTACATTAAGGTCCAAAGGGTCCAAAATTAAACTTTGTTTGATTTTAGCAAAAATTGAATATATGAGGTTCTTTGATATGCTGAATCTAAACATGTATTTAAATTTTTGATTTTTGGCCCAGTTTTCAAGTTGGTCCAAATTGGGGTCCAAAATTAAACTTTGTTTGATTTCAACAAAAAATGAATATATGGGGTTCTTTGATATGCTGAATCTAACCATGTATTTAGATTTTTTTAATTGTGGACCCCGTTATCAAATTGGTTCATATTGAGGTCAAAAGGGTCCAAAATTAAACTTTGTTTGATTTCATCTAAAATTGAATTATTGGGGTTCTTTGATATTCCAAATCTAACCGTGTATTTAGATTTTTAATTTTGGGTCCTGTTTGTTAAATTGGTCTACATTAAGGTCCAAAGGGTCCAAAATTAAACTTAGTTTGATTTTAACAAAAATTGAATTCTTGGGGTTCTTTGATATGCTGAATCTAAACATGTGTTTAGATTTTTGATTATGGGCCCAGTTTTCAAGTTGGTCCAAATCGGGGTCCAAAATTAAACTTTGTTTGATTTCAACAAAAATTGAATATATGAGGTTCTTTGATATGCTGAATCTAACCATGTATTTAGATTTTTTATATGTAGGCCCCGCTATCAAATTGGTTCATATTGAGGACAAAAGGGTCCAAAATTAAACTTTGTTTGATTTCATCAAAAATTGAATTATTGGGGTTCTTTGATATTCCAAATCTAACCGTGTTTTTAGATTTTTAATTTGGGTCCCGTTTTTTTAAATTGTTCTTCATTGAGGTCCAAAGGGTCCAAAATTAAACTTAGTTTGATTTTAACAAAAATTTAATTCTTGGGGTTCTTTGATATGCTGAATCTAAACATGTGTTTAGATTTTTGATTATGGGCCCAGTTTTCAAGTTGGTCCAAGTTGGGGTCCAAAATTATACTTTGTTTGATTTCAACAAAAATTGAATAT